TTTAAAAAAAAAATGTTTCCTCTGGTATTGGTATTTTGACTAGCAATTTTGTTAAATTGTTTCGTTTATTAATGCTACAACATAGTCGTTTCGTGAGTCGCTTGTCGTTGTTGGGTGAAAAGCAAACAGCTGTTTGCTGCGGAGCGCAGCGCGAGCAGGCTCCCGTGAGCGTGCTCCTTCTTCACTACAGACTATCGCGCCACCTAACCATTCGCCTAAAGGTTTTTAATACCAGCGGTAACCGGCCAAGCGCCGGGCAAAAAACAATCTTCAAATAAAAGAAAGTCACCGGAGGAGTTAAAGGAGAGTGACAGGGAGCATGAGAAGAAGAGGGAGAGAAATGTTCAGCCAGCTTGATCGATGGAATTGGCTTCTAGTGGTGCAGTGACACGTCCTAAAACCCTTTTATAATCTATCGATTAGATTTATGATTCGAAAATTATAAAAGTAGGGTAGACATGTGGAGATTATCCGGCTGAACAAACGTGCATTTATCAAACAGGTTCGTTTTCCACAGACCATATTTCCAGCTATTTTCCAAAACCCTGTGGAGAAATCCCATTGCTTTTTGTCGAGGGAACCAGCAGCTTACTTCCTGGTTTTAGGACACGTCACTGCACCTCTCAATATGATGCCAATATAAACAAGGTCTTCTGTCGGCTCTGTATACCAATGCCAATCTATGCTGACAAGTAAGTGAAGAGGAGACAATATAAAAGGTATTGGCTTTAGGGAAATGTCCCAGCAGTTTAGGATAATGAAGGTTCTAATCTAATCCATTACATAGCCATTACATGCCTAACTCCTAATGACAGGAAGGCAGAAAGTGCATTATACAAATAATAATACTCATAATAATAGCAGACATTTTTTAACAATGACCACAATATCATTATTTTAATAAACCAAATATGAACAATTGAGGAAAATGAGGAAGAACTGATGATTCAAATGTTGTAGTACAAGTAGTAATGTAGTTAGTGCATACATTACTATTGCAACAAATGTGTTAATTTTCTTCATTATAAGTCGATTTTTTTGGACGAATGCTCCGGGCCAGTGGTTACAATGGTGGGGCCAGTGATAATACAATAAAAATTCCACCGGCCCGGAGGGCCAGTGGCATTTTACCCTTAATGTCTACCCCTGACTTGTATGATAGTATTCTCGTTGGCGCTATTTTCTGCAAACTCTATCTGCTTCTGCAGGGCTGACCCTGTCTGCTGTCTCCTGTGCAACTTCAGGAAACTGGCGCATGCTTCAGCGAAATGTCTACCTTCTATCACACCTAAAGCGAAGGGGTGCAGAACATTTGTCATAGATCAGGTGTTCGGATACACCACGGCTGTGATGGTTCTGGCTGATGCCCAATGGTCTCCAGTCAGTGCAGTACATGTAGCTAGTACCACTTTTCTTTTCTTTTTCATTGCCATGCAATTCCTGGTAAACATTTGCGCACGAAGTTGGGGTCGGAACATGGTATTGTGATTCTTTTTTTTCAAGTGTCCAGATTATTCCCGAGTGTTAAGGCATTGCAGTGACAGCCCTATGGTGATCTGTTTTAGACAAAACAGTTTGAGGCATTCTTAATTCTTATGGCAAACCAGTTAATAGAAAAACAACCCTTTTTTGTTGGCAGCCGACTCACTATTGTAACTGTTGTAAGTAACTCGACTAAAATAAACATCTTCAGTGTTGGAGGATTTTCTCCTGGTGCGCTATGTGAGCCATAGCTGTCTGTAGTAGGTTGGCTTAGAAATGCTCTTGAAGGTGGCTCGCTGCTCTGATTGTGAGCATCACAGCATTGTCATCATATCTATAGGACCAAAAGTATTATGATTTATTTGTTTGATATTGCAAAACCTTTTATATAATAGCACACAATCGTTTATCTAGCCACTTACTTTTTACTTTAAGAGGCAGCTTGATGAGAAAATGGTCTGAGAGATTTATTGTGTCTTTGTCCCGTGCGATTGAAAACCTTGTTAGAATTTCTTTTAAAAAAAGTTGTGTGAGCAGAGTGAAAACTGTTAGGATGCTTTGCTATGCGGTTCAGGGGTAGTGTTTGGGAGTGGGAGAAGGTTGACCTTCCTACATGTTTGTTTCCCAGATGACATTTGTAAGGAAGTATGTAGTCAGTGGATTGCTTTGTTAAGATACATTTGCAATAAGCAGAACTGGATTTCCCAACCCGTTCAGATTTGCATAGTTGATTCTGTGTTTGTGTATGGTATAAAAGGATACTACAGGTGTATCCCTGTTGTGCATTTTGGGGGAAGACCAAAGAGATTGGTATGTGTGTGGGAGTGGGTGGATAGCCCGGGGAAAAGACAAGTACAAACGCATACATATGTGTGACAGCGAGAAACCACAGACAAGAGGAAGAGCAGTTAAAGGGCAGGAAAGAACAGTGTGTGTGTGTGTGTGTGTGTGTGTGTGTGTGTGTGTGTGTGTGTGTTGGATCGTTGGA